TGAGGAACTGAAGAGCGGTTTTATGGGATCTTATGTAGATAATACCAGTGTGGGATCTCTGGTCACTGACAGTTTTCTTTGAATCTCTTATAGCTTTTTTTGTAAAATCAGTTAACTGATAAACAAGCTTACATACTACCTCTCAATCCATCGTACTCCTCCTCCGTGACCACACCCGACTTCGAGAATAGATATGTTTTGGAGAACCGGGTATTTGGGACACAAACTTAGAGTCTTTTCATAGAGGGAGGCGTGTGCTTTTTCAGCAGTATCAGCTTTGTAGAACTTATTTATTGCACAGGATATGATTTCGTCGTTCGCAGCAGGCTGGTATCCGAGGTTCATAAAATGAATGTTGCATCGATTTTTTAATAAATATAGCATGGGGTAAAGAATCAGACGGTCAAATACAAAATAGTAGAATCGGTTTAGTAAGTTGGTGAGACGGTTTATCATTTTCTTTTTTGAAAATCCTGTAGTTTTTTGACTTTGAAAGGCGCAGTAGATGGTATTGTTTGGTGGAGTGTTGTTTACGTTTGGACACGTTTATTTTTTAAGGAAAGTTTTTGACGTTGTGGTGCGATCGCCTGATTAGCCAGTATTATTGAGTTTTAATTAACTGTAATTTGTAGTGCTTATCTGCATTCTTGTGTGAATTTTTCTTTCTGATTTCTAGTTTCTTCTAGCGAATTGGAATGGAGATATTAATTTGTACCGCTCATAATAATATCGAACACTTTTCTAGCTCACTGGTTCTCATAGTAATTGAATTTTTAGCCATTTTAATTTGTCCTTGTCGGGAGAACTGCTTCTGACTATGTCTGGAAGGCAAGGCGGGAAGCTGAAACCATTAAAACAACCTAAAAAGTCTCAGAAGGAGTTATCGGAGGTAAGGATTTTTGATTTTCGTTTCAAATTAATATTACCAGTTGTTTTAAATAACCTGATAAGGTTAAAGTGCTATCGTTAGTTAATGGAAATACTATTTTACAAAGCTTTTGTTTTGAGCTTTAAGAAGAAAGTCGTTCCTTTTTTTTATCATTTTTTCTTTTTGTTTATGTTTTAATTATAATTTTCATGCTTTGCTGTTATTTTTCATATTTTGTGGTAATTTTCTAGTTCTTTGAAGAGGCTAATCCTTTTTTATTCTAGGTTTGTCTGACCATATTCTTCAGTTTCTTTTAGTTTTAAATTGCCACTCTTTTCTTTATTGGCAAAATTTTCTTGCATTATAACTAGGTAATTTATATCTCTTGCAACATTGTCTCATTATTTGAACAGTTTTACCTTCACAGTAATTTAGAAAGTCGTGTAGAACATTCGTCAACTTTCTTCTTAGTTCTTTAACAAATAATTAGGTAGAGCTTATTTTTTTAAGGACTTAGATTGTCTGAGTCAGAAAAAGAAAAAATAAATTTTGCAATAAGTACCAACTTCTAATATACCGCAAAGTAGTTTATTATTGTAATGGGAGCGGATTGCTGATGCTTTATGTAAATAACCGCCTGATGCACCAGGATTTTTGAGTTATTGTCTCTTGTTATCTGCTACAGATTTTACGTGGTTACCAATCATGGTCATCTAATTTTTGGTACAGTTTTATCTGGCTGCTTGTCTTGTTTTTCAATCAATTGGGCTCTTTTGTTAACAACTGTATGAGTCCGTTTTTACCTCCTAGCCTAGTACATCTAGCATCTTAGATTTTTGCAGTAAGCCATGCTAATAAATTTGGGTTATGCATTGCTTCCAATAAATCTGAAGCAACATTCATTCAAAATCTGCAAACTTTGTATGAGTTTTCAAGTTCTTGCTTGAACAATTTCGCTTTAATAACTTTGCTTTACGCGCTTGCTTTATGGTGATCAGCAGAATATTCCTATGTTCTCTAAAATTAATTCGTTGTGGGACGGTGATATAGGTGGGATTAATGCTTATTATGTGTAAGAAACGTTTCGAAACTTCTAGCAAAGCTTATCTGAATCGGATATTGGTCTTTCTCTTCTTTTGAAAAGTTTTGCATGGTTCTCATTCATTTTTTAAAACCTTCATTTGCCCTTCTGGTCTTTTTTTGAAGAGTCTTTTGTTTACTCGTGTGCAGCTTTGAAAAAATATAGCGTTTTAATTCTAGGAAAAGATTACTGCATCAGAAATAGTAATTTCTTATTAGGTCAAACTCTTGTTCGAAAAGATAGTAAAAAATTTGTAGTTTGCTAGCTATGACTTTAGCAAGTTGGGACGCAGTTGACTGTTTTTTCTGTCTAGAAGGTCATGATACTTGTGTGTGGTCGAGTGTGTCCCTTTGTTGCTCGTTCATTCTTTTTATACGACGTATTCGTCGTCGTCTTTACTAAGGAAATACTTTCCTTAACGCAAAATTAAATTGCTGAGTGGGGAGGAATTTCTATCCACTAATTAACTGTAATTGGAAACACAAACTTACAACTCATCAAACTGCTTTTTTTCTTGCCTGTTCTGCTTCTCACCTTTTTTAACAGTTTTTTCTTGTGATAATACCTCAACTTTCCTGAAAAATATTGATTTCCAATTCAGGAAGATATCGAGTTCAAGAAGAAGCAACAGGAAGAAGCTAAGAAGTTAAAGGATGCGGCTCAGAAAGCTGCTCAGAAAGGACCATTATTTGGTGGAGGTATTAAGAAGTCTGGTAAGAAATAATATTATCCAATTCGTCTCTCTACCACTGGACCATGAGAGGTGTTTCATCTTTTGGTCGTTATTGTGCAACTTTGCTCATACACAATGATTCGGCATGTTTGTAAGAGGAAGGGAGCAAACAAATGTTTATATGAATTTTTTCATTTTGTATCTTGGCTTCTGTTTTCTTGGGCGTAATTTCATGCCGTTTGGTCATGAATTTTAAAGATGTGCTGACAGAAATTTATTGACAAGCAATATTTTCACACTGTGTAACTGCCCTTTATCTATACTTTCACTACATTTCTATTTACTTGCGAATCCTCCTTTAAGAAACTTCCTTAGCAGTGCTGTTGCCTACACATATATACATCGCTTATAAAATGCTTAAAGCCATGGGTTCATATGGTAACAACGTGCTGTACAAAGAAGTTAGAATCTTACTTGAAGTCATTTAGTTTACAACTGTGCTTTAAGATTTGTTTTTATTTGTTGCATATCAAATGCTGTCATTTCTTTTACCAGATCCTGAATGACTAGCATAAAACCAAGTTTAGAGGAAGTGTGCGAACGACAACAAATTGATCTTGGTTTTTATCTCTCATTGTGGTCTTTTTTTTGGCCTTTGAGGCAGTAACTTTGTCCAGGTATAGTCACTTGTGCAATCGCTTTAACCATACGTACGCCTTATACGCATCGTAGACAATCGAAAAGTTTTAATTAATTTTGCGTGGAGTTGCACAGAATTTGGTTGCTTGACCTGGATGGTAATATTTCGTATTTTT